CTCCTCCCCCCCGGCACCCCCCCAACACTGGTAAAAAGGGAGTGATCTCTTACCCAGAGTAATGCTTTTTAGAGTTCTTCTTTCTGACGACACACACGATAATCGCGATGAGCAGCAAGACAACTAGAGTCACACCAATGGCTATCGCTACCACCATGCCAGTGGGGAACGCAGGTAGATTGTCTGGGTGGAAAAAAAAGATTCAACACTTTGCTTCATTTTCTAGTTAGTAAAAATGTGAGCCACAAAAAGCCTCCTTCCTCCCTTAGATCCTTTCAGAGCAGGAGGAAGTCACAGAGTGTCAAGGGTGAACACATGCAGCACAAACGGAAGAGCTAGCTGAGGACAAGCAGAGTTCCGTCTGTTCTGAGCAGGCATTCTGAGTACTTGACATAAGAACAAAAAGTTTCCATAAACCAAGGATAGAGCCTGCATTTTAACCAGTCAGAAGTCAAGGAGTGCAGAAGTTAAATGTACAACAAGAACCTTGACTCATGTTACACATGACTTTGTTCTCAGGTACATCTGTGCAAATCCCATTGAGGTCAGTTGGAAAAAACAAGCATATCTGAGGGAAGAAAAGGGCATAAATATCATATATTGAGATCTACTGATAAATAATATGTAGCTGTTGTATCACACTTAAGTAGCATGCATACAGCACAACTATAATCCAAGAGTATACCTGTGAGCAAAGAAAGACTACTTCTAGAGTCTTTGCTAGTGCTTCCTCAACCTTAATACAGCACTGCACATATCTGTAATGTTTCCTTTTCAAGTTATCAAAGAGTGACAATATTACTTTGCTCAAATTGTCTCCAAACACAGACCTTTTGAGTGAGGCCAAGTGAACAGCCAGAAGAGTTAAAAAACAAAATGAGTACAAAGATAGTTTATAATGGAAGTCTGAGTTATTAACTACACCATTGCTGTTTGGAAAAGCGATCATACATAATTGCAAGGTTTTCCACACCCCTCACTTGTTTCAAGGTCTCTAATTAAGGCTATAAGAGTTTGAACAAGACAGTCCAGGGTTGCATCTACTTTAGATAAGTGCACCACTGCAGCCTGCCCCAGATACAGTTGAACTAGTCAGGTTTCAAGGGTGCAGAGCATCTGCACTAGGCATTTGTTTCAGCCTACTCATGTACTATGCCCACATAAGGCATTCCCACAGCAAGCACTGTAGGGTATATAGGTTGCTGTACCATAGAATACTGCAAATGCCCAGTACATCTCCCTGTATAAGTGCACTAAGTTTATGGAATATTCACACATTTAGTCTTTCCACATTTTGTTTTGCCCCCTGCATGAGCTGCCCATTCATCGTAAGGGCTAAGGACTAGGTCATCACTCTAGCGGATGTCATGATGAGGCAGCTGCTTCTTCTACATTTATTACAATGGGCACCCTACTTTTGGGGAGTGGGGATATGATGTGCAGAAACCAGTGATGAGCAGATTTTTATTCTTCCCATCTTTTAGTTTTAACTTTGTTTTTTTTGCAGCTGAACTACTTCCCCTCCGTTTCCTTTTAGGAACTAGAAATGAATGGGAGCCATGTGCCCTGGTCTGGAGGCAGGATATCCCCTCTAGGCCATTCCATGTGATCTACTAAGATCATTCCCCACTTAAGGAAGAGGAGCCCCGGGGGATGCATCACTTCTCACAGACAGAAGGGGAGAGATGCTTGAGCACCATGCAGAGATAAGTGGATTTACTGTGGTGTATATGGGAGCCAATAGTCACTTTGTTTTTGTTTTCACATCTGAGAGTGGGAGATGCTGCTGAAGTAGCACCTAGATAGTCCTAGCACCCCCCAGTAAAGCACACAGGTGCAGGAAGACATGCCTCTGCATGTCTGCTAACCCACCACTGATTGTCTTGTGTAATTCAGGATAATCCCAAAGAACCATGTTTTAAAATATTAAAAGTTATTTCTCATTATACTTGTGTGCTTTGTGAGAATGGTATCAAAACATTAATTTTTTTAATTAATCAGTATTGATATCAAGCTTATCATGATTCTCTGGATTTTTGTTCCTTAGGGTAAAGGCTGGAGCACTATTTTAAGATTTATAGGTTTTATTAGCCAGAACAGAATTTTTAAGAATAGGTTACAGAAAGCAAGATGCTAGATGATAGTTTTTACAAGATCTAAAAGAATTAGATTTTAACGTTCATGTTAAAATCTATCAAATGCATTTGACTTATGACAGTCTTCTACAAGTAAGCTACCCTAGTTCTACCATATTTGGGGCATGTGGTTTGAGTACCAACACAGGACTATGAATTCTTATCAACTTGTCAATTAAATAACTTGTTGAACTGCAACATTGGTGGAATTGCCTATAACAGTTTAGTTAATAAAGTTGTCAATTTAGTTCAAATGTTACCCTTCCTAATGATACCCCTAGCTAAGATGCAATTCACTCCCAAATATGCAGGTAACAATAGGGTTACCATATTAAGA